GCAGCTGCTGGTTCCCTGATAAGGTGTTCAACACCCTCTTATAACAACAGCATAGAACACGGGTCAGACACAGACACTACATGTCCAAAAGTGTCCAGACTTTACTTCTGGTGAATTCAGCTACATTTAGGTACATCCAGTGCTGACACACAGCTTGGATAAACTTGGATAAACTTTAAAGAAAAGTGCTGATATATAGAATAGGATTCTCTGTAGCTACACATGAGCCTAAAGTCACCACGCCCAAAGTCAAGTGTTGGCTAGGGAGTATAAAGCCCCCCAACATCGGGCTGTGGAGCAGTGGAACTCTGGAGTGATGGAGCTCCATCCAATACCTTTGGCATGAGTTGGAGTTCCCTAACTGATCATCCAACATCAGTACCTGACCTCAATAATGCTCTTGTGGCTGAATGGCCTTTCCAGAATAGTAGAGGCTGTTACTGCAGCAAAGGAGGTAAAACTCAATAGTAATATAGGTTGACAGCCCAAATGTTAAGAAGAGCTATTTTGTCCTTTCAACAAAAATCAAACCACCTTGGGAGCCACAACATTTTACGTCCATTTTAACTTCTTGGCTGTAAATATGTCTCAGTATGTGCTAGGGGTGCGGGAAAAAAACGATTCTTAGATGCATCGCGATGCGGACGTGAACGATTCTCAATCGATTCACAAATGTCAAAAATCGATTTTCTAAATATTTAATCTATAATGTAATGTTGACGGATGCAAAAGGCAGAACTTGGAAGTGCGGAAGTGCAGCGCCCGGACAGTCTGTGGCGGCACATAACAAAAACACAGCTGGATGAGCGAGAAATCCGACCGGCTCCCTCTGCATTAAAGCCAGGTTAGGTCAGGAGTCACAACACAAATGATAAGAAGAGACATTTTGTCCTTTCAACAAAAATCAAACCACCTTGGGAGCCACAACATTTAATGTCCAGTATGTCTCAGTATGTGATAATGTCCTAGTATAGGCTAAACAATATAAACGAGAGCGCAGATTTACTTTCCTCCCATCTCCACCTGAAAACGTTTCCTCAGAAGTAGATCAGTTAAATGTCTCTCAGCGTTCGACTGTTTTACGAGGCTGAAGTCGCTTCTTGTTCTCCAGCTTCTTGTTCGAATTTACCTGTTCCACCTTAAATTGTAACTGAGGCGCCGAATGTAAATGCATTTAAGGTGGAACGGGAGAATTCGAAAGAGAAGCTGACTTCAGCTCCGCCACTTTTTAGTGTTTGACAGTGTCTTGTTGTTTAATGTACCAGGAAACCAACTGCGCTGCTTATAAACGCGAATAACGCATCACTGCTATGCGACCTGCAGTCTGCACGCCGGTCCTCAGTCGTTGTGAAACAGGGCTTTCGCGCTATGTTGCTCACGTCCCGTCTCAAAGATATTTTACTGACACAGCGATTCCCCTGCCCTACTCTCTACAACGAGACCAAAACCGAAGTTATAAAATCACTAAACAAAACGTGTAGAACAGCTGTAACATGTGCTGCGTGGTCATCCATCACCACTGGATCTTATTTCACCGTAACTGCGCATTTTATCGCAGATGAGTGGCAGCAGCGTCTCGTGCTCCAAACAAGAGCCCTGAATGAAAGTCTTCTAGTTCACTTGCCACATCACTTCCATTTGATTTATTAAAAAAGATACTGGAAGTAAATTCATCATGGATCATTACAAATACTTTGCTTTAAAAATACCAAGTCACTTTAAATAACAACACCGAGTTACTTAGTCACTTTAAAAGTATATTGTCTCTAAATTCTGTGTATATTTTGTGTATATTTTGTGTATATTTAATATATTTCAGATGGTTTTTCTTCTATTTATATTTATTTACTTTCTGTAGAGTGATTAGCTGAGCCTCACCACAAGCATTTCAATTAATAAATGTCCTGACATGTTGGGCAAATGACAAATAAACTTGAAACTTGAACTCGAAACTTGAGCTCACACAGTGAGAAAATACAAATGCTATAGAAAAAAAAGATGCATCGAGATGCATCGATAATCATTTTATAATCGCATCGCAGCCCGCTGAATCGTAATCGAATAGAACCGTGAGATGCCTAGAGATCCCCACCCCTAGTATGTGCTAATGTACTTGAATAGGCTAAACATATAATATGAACAAAAACGCAGACTTACTTTGCTCTGCTTTAAGCTTCAGCCCAGCTATAGCTGCTTTTCTCAAATCTCCAGCAGGAAACTTTTCCAAAAATATAATAGTTTCTTGTAAAATATCTCTCAACGTTCGATTTTTTACAAGTCGCTTCTCATTTGTCAGCATCTTATTCGAATTTTCCCGTTCCACCTTACATGGTGCCAGAGGTGCCAGAATGTAACTGCAGCACCATTTAAGGTGGAACGGAACAATTCGAACAAAAAGCTGGCGAATGAGAAACTGACTTTATCTTTGTGACTTTTTAGTGTTTGACAGTTTCTCATTGCAGATTAAACGTATCAGGAAACAACCTGGAGTGATTATAAATGAAAATAAGTCCATTCATCTTCAAATGATCCATGTTCGTCTTCAATCTTTATCTTTGCTGTTGTCTGTGTTGCTATGGCGACCAGCAGTCTGTGCACCAACCCTCATGGTTAAAGGGTGAATTGGCAGTTCTACATTAACTCCAGCATTTTATTGCTAAAACTGTGTTGAACGATCAGCAGAGCTTTATTTTACTGTAAAGGAGGATTATTTTATTTTTATCTGAAAATCTAATTCTGCTGTGGAGCCTCAAAAGGACAGTTAAAGAGCCGCATGTAGCCGACCCCTGAAAAAGTTGGTGAACATGGTGGCTCTTACTAACACTGTGTGAAAATCTTATGATGAATGGAACAATAGAAATGCTCCAAAATAACTTGGAATAAAACCCTTTTACTTTAACTTACATTAAAAGTTAAGAATGTTTTTGCCTTCTACTGTAAAGCTACTGTTTAGGTTCTATTCAATTCATTTCAGTTCAATTCAGTTCAGTTCAATTTGATTTACTGACCATATTTAGTTACAGCGTTGACACACCATAACTGGAATAATACCAAATAATATTAAAAGATATTCAAACCATTTCAGTTACAAAAACATTTAGTATGAATTTATAGAACATATGTAAGAAAAACCAAATTAGAAATAGAGCACATTTTCAATCTCTTACAGACGCACTGTGATGACCAGAGCTAGACTTCACCCCCCTACCAAACTAGAGAGCTTTTATTTAGAGTAATCATGCTAATAACTCCATCTTCAACTGAAACTGAACTGAACCGAACTGAACTGAAACATTTTATGGGTCTCCACTGAGCGCTGATCTACTTTGCAGAAGAAAATCAAAGTAAGACGAACGTCACAAAACCAACCCTGGCATGAAGACACATTGCACACATTTCAAAGCAACCAAATGATTTTTCCAAAACAAGCTGGTCACAAACCGAGAGAAAGGGAGAGAGAAAGAGAGAGAAAGAGAGAGAGAGAGAGAGACGGAGAGACAGAGAGAGAATGGGAAAGGAGAGAGAGAGAAGCAGAGAGGGAATGGGGAAGGAGAACAGGGAGAGCAGCCAAGGTGATGAAGTACCATCACCAGATCACTACCATGCGTGAAAACGAGAGAGAATGAGAGAAAAGCCTGGAGTTCCTCTCCTCCTGAGAGAGAACAGCTGAACCACAGGTACAAAGAAACCTCATTCTATCCTGCTGTGGTAAAATACCATCAGAATTACTGTTAAACACAGACTACAGTTACGAGACTAATTTCACAATGACATTAAGAATCTATTCACTCTTCTCAAAGCAACTGAAAACCTTTTCAGAAGAGCAGGAACTGTAATAAAATACAACGAGAATGAGAGAAAAGCTGAAAAGAGAACGACATAAAAAAGAAGAGCGAGGTGGAGGAGAGAGAAAGGGAAAGGGAGAGAAAAAACGAGAAACGGAGAGTGAAGAGAGACAGAAAGGAGAGAAAAAGAAGAGAGAAGACTTTCAACACCCCTTTTATTGAAGCATTAATAATTAAAGAATGTTACATCCTAATAGTTATATTAATAATAATGAGGATCCCCAAAGAAAATCCACCCATCCACAAAGATTCACCAATGAAATGATATCACACCCAGATCACTGACGAGAGAGAAGAAGAAAATAGAAAGAAGAAGAGGAGAGAAGAGGAACATAAAAAAGAGAGAAAAGGAGAAAATAGAGAAATAAAGGAAAGAATGAAGGAAAGAGAAAAAAGAGAAGAGAGACAGTGAAGAGATGGAGAGGAGAGAGAAAGAAAAGTAAAGTGAAAGAAAGAAAGAAAGAAAGAAAGAAAGAAAGAAAGAAAGAAAGAAAAAGCGTGAATAAATAAAGGAAAGAAACAGGGAAGAGTGGAAGAAAGAGGAAAAAGAGAGCTGAGAGAACAAAAAGAGAGGGACAAATAGAAGAGAAGAGGAAAAGAGATAAAGAGAGAAAAAATGGAGAGGAAAGTGAGAGAAAAGTGATGAGAGTAAGAAAGAAGGAAAGAAAGAAGGAAGGAAAGAAGGAAAGAAAGAAAGACAGTGAGTAAATAAAGGAGAGAAATGGGGAAGAGTGGAAGACAGAAAAGATCGCACATCGCACTGTCACTTTGTTTATGCATCTATCTTTCTATCTAAGGGAAAGAGAGAGAGAGAGAGAGAGAGAGAGAGAGAAAGAGGGGAGGGAGCAATAACCGTACAAAAAAAGTAAAGAATAACTCGCACAGAGAGAGAGAGGTGGGGTAGAAAAAGCAAAAGTAAAAACGGCAGATTTTGTAGTGAAAGAAAAGAAGAGAGAATGAGGGAAAAGCTGAAAGGAAAAAGAACAGCCGGAAAAGTAAAGCTGTCACACAATAAATACATCAGAAAAGAGTGAGAGTGAACAGCACAAAAAGAAGAGTGAAGAAGTACTTGCACCACATAGGAGAGAGACACACACAGAGAGAGAGAAAGAGAGACACAGAGAGAGAGAGGAAAGCTGGAGTGCGTGCCCTCACCAGTCCCGAGGCGAAGAAGACGGAGATGAGGGCGAGACAGGCTCCCATGACGATGAGCAGCAGGAAGACGATGAGCGGGTGCTGCTGGCTCATGCGGTAATAAGATTCGTACAGCCAGTCTGGAGACTTCAGGCCAGCCTCCTCCGGACCCTCCAGCAGATACGCTCTGTGAGACCGGAGCATGGGGTCAGCAGCCTGGACCCCGCCGGCCCCGGAGCCCTCCTCCACCGCCTCCTCCTCTTCCTCTTTCTCCTCTTCCTCTTCTTCTTCTTCTTCTTCTTCTTCCTCCTCTTCCTCCTGCTCCTGCTCGTCCTCCTCCGGGTGAGCGCTCAGGGGCAGGAGAGAGAGAATGCCCGTGCGCAGCATCCTCCAGCCAACATGATGAACTGAGCACAGCAGCCACGGAGCAGAGAGAGAGGAAGAGAGGGAGGGAGGGAGGGAGGGAGGAAGGGAGGGAGGGAGAGAGAGAGTGCGAGACAGGGAGAGAGAGAGAGAGAGAGAGAGAAAGAGAGAGAGAGAGTGTTTGTTTGAGTGGGAGGGAGAGGGGAAGCGTCAGCGAGAGAGAAAGTGACTCTATGGCATGTGTTTGTGTATGAGAAAGGAAAGCGAGGTAGAAAGTATTTCAGGGGGCAGAGACAGAGGAGAGGAAACAGGAGGGAGGAGTGACGGAAGAACCAGAGATCCAACAGCTCCAGCGATGAGGGATATTCAGAGTGTAACTCACTCACTCACAGTACACGTTTTACTATTGAAAAATAGTACAAAATTAGCTCAATCAGACAAATCATAACATCTACATTCAACCTACTACAATACATGATATCATATGCTTAAAAATATCAGCACTGTAACAATTAAAAAATGGGAAATATGGCAATCTAAGTTACATCACAGTGTGCTTTTCTGAGCATATTGTAGATCTCGCCAGCGCTTAAACAACACTGACCAAGTTTATGTTTATGTTTCTACAGAGCCGTGACATCTTGTATAAATAAAAATAATGCATGGGAATGAGATCCTAATGCATGGCCATGACTTAGTAAGGCGTGGGAACGAGATCATGCCTTACTAAACCATGGCCACGCTTTAGGATCTCATTCCCACACCTTACTAAGTTGTGGCCATGCACCAAGAGCTCATTCCCACGGCTTACTAGGTTGTGGCCATGCACTGGGATCTCTTGCGTCACCAGCGGGGCTCTGTAACTTAGTAAGGCGTAGGAACAAGATAATTAAGTCGTAAGGTGTGGGAATGACATCCTAATGTGTGGCCATGACTTAGTAAGCTGTGGGAATGAGATCCTAGTGCATGGCAATAATAATTACTTGCACAATCAGAGACAATCAGAGAGAGGTGGAGTATGAAAAAGCAAAAAAGCAAAAACAGCAGATATTACGAAGGATGGACCAACATTCTACGTTACTCAAAGATCATGTCACACGATATTCACACTAGGTTAGTTCAATTCAAGATTATTAACAGAATGTATTAGACACCCTCTAGACTATATGAGGTTAACCTTAAAAACGACCCTAGGTGCTGGAAGTGCACTGATGAGGATACATTAACTCATGTCCCATGGTCTTGCCCCAAAGTACAGGACTTTTGGACATTAGTTCACGATTGTATTCAGAGAATTGTTGGCCAAAAAGACCCCTTTTGCATTCGTCCTTTTCTATTGGGTGACCCATCCACTCTGAAAGACACAATTCCCTCTATCTACACTGAATTGGTTGAGACTGCTATTATGTTGGGCAGGAGACCACTCATTCAGCAATGGAAGTCAGCTTACGCACCATCACTTTCAGACTGCCATAATCTGCTAAGGTGGGGGCATATGAACGCGTTTCCTTCTCTCTGCTGGGAAGGCTGGAATTAATGTACTTAACAAGAACTCGGTGTGCATCTCAGCACTGCTAGAAGCTTGTATTGTGCAGTGGACCAGTTGCAGTCAGGGGAAGGTTTTACATTGAATGATGAGGTGATTAGGCCCAATCAGAGGCCTCAGAACAAACAATGTGGTGATTAGGACTAACCACAGTCAGGCGGAGGTCTCACAACAAATAATGTGGTGATGAGGGCCAATCACAGTCAGGGGGAGGACCCAAAACTAATAATATGGTGAATAGGACCAATCACAGACAGGGGAGGTCTCAAAACAAACGACATGGTGAGTAGGACCGATCACAATCAAGGGGAGGTCTCAAAATTAATGACATGGTGATTAGGACTAATCACAGTCAGGGGGAGGTCTCAAAACTAATGACATGGTGATTAGGACCAATCACAGTCAGGGGGAGGTCTCAAAACTAATGACACGGTGAGTAGGACCGATCACAATCAAGGGGAGGTCTCAAAATTAATGACATGGTGATTAGGACCAATCACAGTCAGGGGGAGGTCTCAAAACAAATGACATGGTGATTAGGACCAATCACAGTCAGGGGGAGGTCTCAAAACAAGTGACATGGTGATTAGGACCAATCACAGTCAGGGGGAGGTCTCAAAACTAATGACATGGTGATTAGGACCAATCACAATAAGGAGATGTCTCAAAACAAACGACATGGTGATTAGGACCGATCACAGTCAGGGGGAGGTCTCAAAACAAATGAAATGGTGATTAGAACCAATCACAGTCAGGGGAAGGTCTCAAAACAAATGAAATGGTGATTAGAACCAATCACAGTCAGGGGAAGGTCTCAAAACAAATGGAATGGTGATTAGGACCAATCACATTCAAGGGGAGGTCTCAAAACAAATGACATGGTGATTAGGACCAATTGTAGTCAGAGGGAAATCTCAGAACATGCGACATGGTGATTAAGATCAATCGCAGTAAAGGAACGTTCTCAGAACAAGCGACTCAGTGATTGGGAGTTGTGTTCAGTAAGCAGCACACACTGCACTGTACAAACTTAAACCAGGGCAACATTTTGGTCAAAAAGACAACGTTTTGCTCCAAAGTGCTGTTTTTGTTTGAAGTATATTGCCGGCTGTAGAGGGCTGAGCAGAAGATGTTGCTAACTGTGTTAGAGAATCTGAGCCAAATCACTTTGTGATGCGTGAAGCATCTCAGGAAAGCGGCTTGTAACTCACTCACTCATGTTTAGCAGGCTGAAAATTCAAGGGGGTGCTATTAACAGTCAAACGGTGTTGCTTCATAACAGCTTCACGTAAAGTGTTGCTGTGTATCCTTGTTAACACATAAATTATTGAAAATGAAGTTGAAACTTGGCCTCAGATTTGAAAATCAATATGTGTATCATTACACCCCTAATTGGAACTGAATTTTATTTGACTCTATTCTTCTGTTTTTTGGTCCTTTTTGGTCTAAAACAATATGCTAAAGTGAGAATGTGAAGAAATAAGTCCAGAAAATTAAACTCAAAAAGGAACTGGGAACTAAATATGAAGCAGTAAAATATTTATAAGGCAATGGACCCAACCTGTTTAAAAAAGTACATAATATCACTAATCCAAGGGAGTAAACAAGTAGGTGGGAATTCATATTATTATATAATTAATTGCTCTACATATAGTTAGATGAAAAAGAGTCTGCACTGTTATTGTCCAGCTCTCTCAGTCAGTCATTTAGCCACTCTATCTCAGCAGTCAGTTGTGTTAAACACTATCAGAGATGGACTCTGCTAATTAGGCCACAGTGAGTGTCCTTCAGGTGGGGCAGCAGATATGCAGGCTCAGGAGCTGAGGAGGAGACACTGTGATTTCTTGTCATTATTTTTAGAGTGAGACCTAAACTAAAGAACAGAAATGGGAAGAAGACACATAGAAAAGATGGTTCACTGCAAAAGTGCTTTTAAAGGACACGTTGAAAAACATTTTCTTCACTTTTTTCGAATGCTTGATGTAGCATATAAAATTTTGAAATCGATCATTCACTCCACACAGTCCATATATGGAGCCGAAGATAGCCCAGTGTTAATCAATTGTTTTTGTAAAGTCATAAAACCTAATGCCAGGTGATTAAGTTAAGGTAACTAAGTTAAGGTCCGAATTTTTTTCTGCCCACCTGCTCGGCTAGGTCCTCATCCTCCTTGGGTAGCTTTTTCATTCTTGTCTTCTTGGTGCCACTTTGTTATGCGCTACCGCCTGTACTGGCATCTGAATGTAACTGCTACATCATTTACGGTGGTGCTTGAAAGTTTGTGAACCTTTTAGCATTTTCTATATTTCTGCATAACTCTGACTTCATCAGATGTTCACTAAATAGTCCTAAAAGTAGATAAAGACAACTGAATATTAGACTTTGTCATTTATTTACTGAGGAAAATGATCCAATTGTACATTTTGAGTGGCAAAAGTATGTGAATCTTTAGAATTAGCAGATAATTTGAAGGTGAAATTAGAGTCAGGTGTTTTCAATCAATGGGATGTCAATCAGGTGTGAGTGGCCACCCTGTTTTATTTAAAGAACAGGGATCTATCACAGCCTGATCTTCACAACACATGCTTGTGGAAGTGTATCATGGTATAAACAAAGGAGATTTCTGAGGACCTCAGAAGAAGAGTTGTTGATGCTCATCGGGCTGGAAAAGGTTACAAAACCCTCTCTAAAAAGTTTGGACCAATTCACAGTCAGACAGACTGTGTACAAACAGAGGAAATATATATATATATATATATATATATATATATATATATATATATATATATAAGATTCAGTTTCCAGTGACATTAGGAAAACAACATTCACCAGCTAGCAAAAAAACAAAAAACAAAAAAGAAAACCAAAGGGGCAAAAAGTCAAAAGTTTCTCCAACCTTAAAGATCCATCATTTTGTAGACATTTTCTGAGTCTTTAAACTGGAAACTGTCATTGAGGTCATTTGACCCATGAAAAATATCATATCAGTGGACATCAGGTAGAAAAATAAAACAAAAAAAAATGTTGGACATGGGCTTTTTTAACAGAATCGAACTCCTTGTTAATCCTGAATAACTGCATTAATGACCTGTACAAGGCTCTTTCACAATTTCTGATAATATGAAAGTGGACTTTCTTTATTAATTCATGATAAGCATCTGATAATATGATGATAAGCATAATTAATATTCAGGAAACTTTCAGTGGCACTGCACTACAGTCCTCTGTTTTACAAATACTACTACCTTTTCCACTGTAATCATAATGTGAAATACAACCCGGTCTAAGCTAATCTGCATATTTCCTGGAAAGTTAATTCCATCTGCAATTAGAGAGGCTCTTTCAGTCCCTGTGTTAAGGCTCGAGTCTATTTCAAATGTAAATAATAATCAGCTTTGTTAAGGCAGTGAATAGAGTAACTGTGTATTTGCTCCTTGGCCAGCGTGCCATTCATGCAAACAAGTCGTGGCTATTGTGTCCAAGTGCTGTGGTTGATCTCTCAGGTA